TAAATAAATTGAGGCTCAAAAAACTAATGCGCCCACGGGCATATGATTGAGGATATAGAAAACAATATTTTCATAATTCTCCTTTCTTTTCTTTTTTTTTTCTTTTTTTTCATTTTGAATACACTATCGTGTCCCAAAAAACATATAATCCCAAAGTTGCTATATTTCTGTTTTTTGAAAACATTTTGTCTATCACTATATTTTAAGACTATAAAAGGCACATTCAAGAAAATTCATTGAAAGAAAATGAGTAAAGCCGAATGACCACAATTGTTGACACAAAAGTTGACACACCTCTCACAACTGAGGTGTGGGTCCCGTGCCAATAAAATAATGCCGACCTCCCCATGTGAGTGTGTTGTGTCAACCGATGTGTCAACAAATGTGGCTATATAGCATAACCCAAAGAAAATATAATTGTACACTATATTGCTGTTTGCACCAAATTTCTATATGTCACAATTATAATAACTCTAACTCTAATTAAGCCTATGTTTCATGGAATTCACATATACTGTACACATATTCATTACTCATTTTTATCTATTTATAGATAAAACCGTTTATAATTAAACACTTCCCAAACATTTATAACAAATTATAGTAAGATCCAATATTTTGATTGATCGTTGAGGTCCAATAGTAAGTTATCATGGCTTCCATGCTTCAAATATGCTGGATAATCATTGCTAGTTTGTGATTGGTTGCAAAATAGGCATTGATGTCATGTGTCTTGTTGGGATGATTGGTGGTGAGGTGGGACAGTGTAGCAAGGCCTTGTTTATCATGATATCCCCTTAAATTACAGCATCAATTTTATATCTTAAACTTTCTTGAGCATAGTCCGACCTTACTTTGTGTTGATCTAGGCCCCATGATTCTTTTTCTAGTAAAATTTAGGGTGGATACCAATAAAAATCATAATTGGAGTCCTCAACAAAGTTATTTTAAATTTACATAACGACCAAATATAATCAAAACCCTAGTTTTAATTTGTTGAAAATTTATTGTTATATAGAAACATATAGGAATGGAAACCATCAAAATGATGAACAGAAACTAAGTTAAGAAGGTAATTACTTGACCCACACGCCATTCATTCTTTGTTTGTCGTACACAGTATAAGTTGAAGTTTGATTTCCGAAGAGATCAATGTTGTACCTAATTTACTTACTATTCAGCTTACGTACAGAAATATGTCTTCTTTTCAACCCATTTTGTTTTCTGTTTTGTCAATGGTTTTCCCCTTTGTCAATACCGGAAAGAAAGCCGTTTTTTAGATTAATGATTTTCAATTCTTAACATACATTTTTTTTTCATGGGTGATGTTAAACGTATATCAAAATATTCATAACGGTGTCCATCCTCGTCACATGAAGGGAGACTCACTTCAAATAAAATATAATTTATTCGAAGTAGGTCTCCCTCCATGTGAGAGGGGGTGGGTATCGTTATGAACACCGCATTATGAAAAGGTAACATATTTCTTTTTTGCTCTTTTTGTTCCATATTTCAACAATACCTCTTGATTTTTATTTTTTATTTTTTAAAGAGAGCCAATATTCCATTAAAGAAGATCACCAAAAAATTTAAAAATAAAATAAAAATAAAAAGATGAATCAATTCAGTACGGAATATAGTCTCATAGCTTTTATATATCTTATTTAAATCCTTGGTAGAATGATTAGTAGACTTGATTTTTTTTCCTGTTTGGTGTAACTAAAAATTAGATTTTTAGTAGAATTTGATAAAAATTAAAAATATGTGTGGTTGAAAAGTAGATAAAAGCTATGGATCCCATAAGATGTATTATTAAAAAAATAATTTTTGACATGGAATTTTATCAATTTTTTAGCTATACCAAATAGGGCATAATGAAATTTTATATAAAGTTTCGAGAAGTTTGATATTGATAGAGCCGGATCTAAGCATTGTCTAAGTAAGCATTGTGTGGTAAGATGAACAATTATTAACCCTATAGACCTTATTTTTTGATCATTTCTTTGAATTTTGTAGAATTAATGAGAACATTAAGTAAGCGAGTTTATCTCAAATTTTCTCATATTGGTGTCAAAGTGCAGATTTCGTGCAAAAATGATGGCACAAAAGGAGACGTCCGGCTTTTGATGATACACATATTGATGAGATTATGTGTCAAGAAGAGACTATACAATTGAGACAAACGAATATATTTGTTGACGAAGGGGGTAGAAGTGTTGTTGCTGCGACAACAAATAGTATTGTTGACACAACGAATGACTATACTATTGCTGTAAAATCATGACGATTTCTTAGTCAACTAGTTTGTGGGAGGAGGGTTTAATTTCTTGGAAAGAATATACTTTAAAGTCAAAGCCATTAACTCTAATGTAGGCCCCGAAATTATCATGTTACCATACAGTATGTACAGTTTTTGTATAGGTTCAAAATAATCATATGCAATGTATTTGAAGAACCGTAAAAAGTGCCTCAAACAAAGCAATGTGAATTGGACATGAGTTTCATATGCGTGTACAAGGAAGCTCATTTCTTTATACGTGGAACGTCAAATGAATAATTACTACTTGTTGGATGACTTAGGTTTCCATCCTTTAGAGTCATACATGCATAAAATTCCACGTGGGCTAAAAATTCGGTCGATGGTGAAATAAAAAACGGCATGTTTGGTGCGATTTATACATAATTGAACAAAAATTAAAGAAAATAGAAATGTAGAAGATTCAATGCCCTATAAGAAAACCTTTTATATATCTTGATCATAGTTTGTGCTTTTGACATTGGATAACTTCGTTATACTACATTTCTCTTCTGGCTATATATATATATATATATATAATTTTTAGATTAGCATTAAATTACACGTTACGTAATTTTTGCCAAAAAAAGGAATTGTAACGTTTGAAAGGAGAAAACAATGTTTTGGCTAATTCATTCAAAGTATTCAGATAGTATTGTTTGTTGTGTGTATTTGTTGGGAAAATTGGGTGATTTGTCTGTAGATTTATTTATAAATTAGCATAATCAATTAATTGACATAAACATAATTCAACAATAATATAAAATAAGAAGAGGATGAGAAAGAAAGCAAGTCTTGAAAGTCATGTCGACGATGCTGTCCTTTAGTCGTATTGCTTCCCTTCGTACAGGTTCTTTCGGCACTACACGTCTCCAAAATAAAGCTCATGTAACTCTCCTTCTATAGGCACAACCATAGGGAGATAAGTGAACGAACATTTATTGAGATACCAAAAGTATAATATAAAATTGTAAAAAGGATAATACTTCAAGTGGTTCACTCAAATTATAGAAATGACTCCCTCATGTAGTATAAAACTTTAACCCCCACAATAAGGAGAATTATCACAATTAACATATAAGTTAACATATGTGTTAGGTCTAAAGGTATAATTGACGATTCTGTGGATAAAAAGACTAAATTGTAAATTTGTAAAAGTTAGGGACTCAATTGTACAATGTTATAAAATTTAGGGACTTAGGGTGCAATTTAGCAAAGGTAGATGGTAGGGACTAGGGTTTGAATGTTTGGTTCAAATCAAGGTCACGACGTCGGAAGTTCACTAGCTGTTCGCCCTGCCACTGCTCGAGCGAGAGGAAGCAAAATGGTCATCGCTCGCTCGTCGCTCGATATTCGCTCGATCGAAGTGGTGTTGCTCGCTGTTCAAACGCTTTTCGCTCGAGCGACGATGTTATATGGAAAATAATATTTTCGATTTCTAGAAAGTTTGACACGGTCTAGGACTCCTAATTGCCCCCACCTATAAATACAAAGGCCGTGAACGTGAAAGAGAGATTGTCATATTGTGTTTTACATAGATATCATCTTCAATATTCTCTCAAGTGATCCAAGGCAGAACTGAGCAAGGAATTCATCCATAAACACCTTGTGATCCGGGCAATCCACTGTTGGGGAAAACATCACTATTTGTGAAGATAAAACACCTAAACTTCTTCATCTGTTGAGGAAGGGGACTCTCTCATTGGGAGATTGAGAGAGGTGGACAACAAGCGTAGGAACTGGACAAGAACAGGAGGTTCTTGGAATTTCACTTGGTAATACAATCAGCTAGAGACTAGAAGGCTATATTGGATAGCAGATTGGGCTGCAGGAGGTAGATCGGGAAGCAAGCAGGAGACTAGCAGTATCTACAGTAGCAAATCGTGAGACTGGAACAACGGGTCTGACTTGGTAAGGAGTTTGGCATAACTTGTACTAGCTGGATTGGTATAGTGGAAACTACTGGCTTAGTCTCAGAGTTTTACCCACGTTGGGGTTTCTCCGTCATCATATGGTGAGTTGGTGTTGTTACTGTTTTATTTACTTTACACAAACCGACAATTCAACATAGGCTTAATTGGACATGTATGTTTAATCACCTAGACAGCAATTAATTTGTGACTTGTTACAATTAATTGTATTAATTCCGCACGTAAAGTCAAAAGGTAAATTGGAACGTAAACTTGGTAACGCTAAAATTTGAATTTGACATAGTAAAGCATTCACATGAATTTCCAAGTGGTTGTAGAATGTTCCCTGAACTTTCAAGTGGTATCAGAGCCTAAGTGCGAATCCTAACCTTACATTAGTCTAGATGAGTATGTCGTTGAATGTGCCACCCCATTTTGATAGGAACAATTATACGTATTGGAAGGTGAGAATGAGGGTGTTTTTGAAATCCTTAGATGAGTGTTTTTGGCAGATTGTGGTAAATGGTTGGTCAGCTCCTAGTGCCACAATAGATGGTGTAGTCACTCCTACCCCTGTTGAGAACTGGTCTAGAGTTCAATTAGATAGCTGTAATTTAAATAGCAAAGCCCTCCATGCCCTATTTATGGCAGTTTCCCCCGAGGAGTTTAAGAGAGTGTCCATGTATGAGGTAGCAAAGGAAGTTTGGGATATTTTAGAAACCACACATGAGGGAACTTAGGCAGTTAAGAGTTTTAAGCTGCAGATGTTGGCCACTAGGTTTGAAGAGATAAGAATGAGAGACGATGAGATGTTTGATGTCTTTTATGCGAGCTTAATTGATGTAGTAAATTCGTCCTTCAACCTAGGTAAAAGAATCCTTGAGCCTAAGATAGTGAGAAAGATTCTTAGATCCTTACCTGAGTGTTTTAGGCCTAAAGTCACCGCAATTGAGGAGAGTAAGGATATAGACACTATCAAGGTAAAGGAGTTAGTTGGATCCCTCCAGACCTATGAATTGACCTTAGACAATCCAGTTAAGGAAAAATCCATAGCCTTAAAAATCGCTAGGAATATCCAGATGGAATCTTCTGATTCTGATTCACCCAATGATGAGAAGATGGCCTACCTAACTAAAAAATTTCAAAAAATATTTAGGAATAAGAAGAAGCCTCGAGAGAGACAAAGAGGTGGCCCGAGTGAATCTAGGAAGAAATCTAAATCCGTGAGATGTCATAACTGTCGCGGTTTCGGTCATGTAAGGAATGAGTGCCCTATTGCTAAGAGATTTGAAGAGAAGGCTATGAATACTACTCTCACTGATGACGAGTCTAGCTCGAAAAATCGAAGTGAGAAATCCACCCGTGAAGTATGTGGCCTTCGTTGCTAGGGGTAAAAGTGGATCCGATCAAGAAAGTGAAAGGACAGAGGACGTAGATAGTAGTGAAGATTCTAGTGATGAGAGTGGAAGTGTGGAAGATCTAGAAATAGCCTATGATAGGATGTATGAGGAAAGCCTCAAGATCTTAGCTACTACCCAGGCAATGAGTAAGAAATTGAAAGAGCTTAAGCCAAAGAAGGAAAAGTTAGAGGCCCGTGTTAGTGATCTCACCGATAAGAATGAGATGTCCTCTAGGAGAGTAAGTGAGCTGACCATTGTGAATGAGACCTTAGCTATTCAGGTTAAACACCTTGAGAGTGAGCTAGAGTTGTCTAGGTCTCAGTTACTTGCCTTTTCTAGCAGTTCTGAAAGGCTAGATAATATTCTAGGAATAGGCAAGCCGACTGGTGATAAGGGAGGTCTAGGTTTTGATCTGAATGTTGCTAGTACATCACAGACCACCTTTGTTCGTGCTACTGACTAGCCAAATATTGTGACTAACCCCATACCAAATGTTGTGGGAACTTCAGGATGTAGGTCTACCAGATGTCGTAGGACCTGTCAGCCTAGGAATAGAAATCAGCGTAAGCATATCACAGGTCCTAGGTTTATCCCTACATGTTTTCACTGTGGAGAGTTAGGTCACATATGCCATAAGTGTCATCACTACCTAAACAATAAGAAAGACTTTAGCTTGAAAAAGAACAAAAATCAGGTGTATGTTGGTCAAATTGGATTCGTTACTGATCAAGTCAATCATTTGACTCAATTGGTGACACAGTTGTTTGGAAACAATCCTCGCTCTAGACAGCTTTGGGTGAAGAAAAGCGATCTCCCAAATTTGGTTAGAGATCGTGGTGCTCTTAAAGGAAAGAGCACTTATATACCTACTTGATTAGGTATTTTGGATGCATGCTTGGCTCTTAATTGACATATAGTTGTTGCATGCATCACATGTATATTGTTTGTTTTTGTTTTGTTGTTTTTCATGCATGTGCATTTTTACCTACAAGATTTGGCATATGCATGTTTATTTTTGTTTTTGTATACTTGACTTTATTTTATTTTGTGTGTGGAGCATTCATTTTAGGAAAAATGAAAAACACAAAAAAAATTGAAAATTTGAAAAAGACAAAAATAGTTGGTTATGAAAATTTCTACAACATGACACATGACTTAAAGCTTGCATGTTGTATCATGTAGGAGCTAAAATTGATAAGCTGTAGAATAATTTTCATTGCTTGGTTAGGTCTAGTTGGATTAATATGTATAAGTGTTTTCGTGTACCATCTGCACTGCACACACTATGAATTTGTTAGTGGGACACTACCGCGTGTGTGAGACTTGGGATGACTGTCACATGTTGATGGGGTGACTTTGAACATGAATTGACCAATCTCTGTAGACCTTAACCCAAAAATTTCACCCAATTTTAAATGTTCATATCTTAATGTTCTTTTTCGGGGCCTATTTGACTTGAGCAATTAAGCCTGTGGGGTCTCTTAAAATCTGGTGTCTATGGTCAACTGACTTGGGTTAACCGGCCTAAAGCTCGCTACAGGGGTCATCTTAGTCGCCTAATGGAGAATAACCTGCACTTAAGATGAAAAATTAATAAGTTAGAGAAATGAGAAAAATATGAAAAATATGATAAGCTGAAATAATTTGAAAAATTGAAAAACAAATAAACTCATAGTAAGGGGGAGATAAGTAAAAATAATAAGTATAGGTCCTACTACGCGTTACATGGTTTGACTCTTATTAGTAGGAGAATATACTTATTAATAGTGATTAGCATGTCCCTTCTCACAAAATTAAGGGTTGGAGTCCTGCTTGCATTGGATTAGTGACACTTTACACACATGAGTCACTTATATTATTATTCCATTCTGGACTAACTAAGTATGTGGGGAGTTATACTACTTGTTGATTTTGCTTTTATATGCTATCAATTGCATTTTTTATTATTATGTGTTATTGCTCAACTTGGCCTTAATGTATATCTCTTCAGCATTTGTAACAAAAAGGAGGAGAGAAATGTGTAACTGAGGGGGAGAAAAAAAATAATGATTGAGCATACACATAGGAGGGTGACTGCATATGCATGCACATGACGTCATTGATTGTTATCACTTGCATTGCATTGCTATATTTAGGGGTCGTTGGGGAGAGACATAGATACATTTACCTACTACATAAAAACATGAAACCTTGTGGTAAGGGGGAGCATTGCATTGCATTCCATATCACATCCATCTGTTTGAGTTTTGATGTTTGGTTTTTGATTGGCATTAATATCACATCTCAAATTGTTATATTGATTTGTGATTAAGAGCTTTAATTAATTTTTATATTTCCTATATCACGTACTTTTACACTGGGTATATGAGTTTGTGGATTTCAAGAAACAGGTACACAAAGGAATGCAAGACTCGGTGATTGCGTTTACTCGCGAAGGAATGCAAGACTTAATGAATAGGTTTATTGGGTAGTTTAGTTTTTTGTTGTCAAGTCCTGACTTATTTTTTATTGTCCTGACTTCATTTGTAAAGTTTTGTCACATAATGTCAAAGGAGGAGTTTGTTAGGTCTAAAGGTGTAATTAGCGATTCAGTGGACAAAAGGACTAAATTGTAAATTTGTAAAAGTCAGGGACTCAATTGTACAATGTTATAAAAGTCAGGGACTTAGGGTGCAATTTAGCAAAGCTAGATGGTAGGGACTAGGGTTTGAGTATTTGGTTCAAATCAAGGTCGCGGCGTCGGAAGATCACTAGTTGTTCGCTCTGCCACCGCTCAAGCGAAAGGAAGTAGAATGGTCGTCGCTCGCTCGCTGCTCGATGTTCGCTCGAGCGAAGTGGCATCGCTCACTATTCGCTCGAGCGACGGTGTTATATGAAAAATCATATTTTTGATTTCTGGAAAGTTTGACACGACCTAGGACTCCTAATTACCCCCAACTATAAATACAAAGACAGTGAACTTGAAAGAGAGATTGTCATATTGTGATTTATATAGATATCATCTTCAATATTTCTCAAGTGATCCAAGGCAGAACTGAACAAGGAATTCATCCATAAACACCTTGTTATTCCGAGCAATCCACTGTTGGGGAAAACATCACTATTTGTGAAGACAAAACACCTGGACTTCTTTATCTGTTGAGGAAGGGACTCTCTCATTGAGAAATTAAGAGAGGTGGACGACAAGCGCATGAACTGGACAAGAACAGGAGGTTCTTGGAATTGGTGATACAATCAGCTAGAGACCAGGAGGCTGTATTGGATAGTAGATTGGGCTGTAGGATGTAGATCGGGAAGCTAGCAGGAGACTAGCAATATCTACGGCAGTAGATCGTGAGACTAGAATAGTGGGTCTAACTTAGTACCGAGTTTGACATAACTTGTACTGGCTGGATTGGTATAGTGGAAACTACTGGCTTGGTCTCGGAGTTTTACCCACGTTGGAGTTTCTCCGTCATCATATGGTGAGTTGGTGTTGTTACTGTTTTATTTACTTTACGCAAACCGACAATTCAACGTAGGCTTAGTTGGACGTGTATGTTTAATCACCTAGACAACAATTAATTTGTGAGTTGTTACAATTAATTGTATTAATTCCGCACGTAAGGTCAAACGGTAAATTGGAACGTAAACTTGGTAACGCTAAAATTTGAATTTGACATAGTAAAACATTTCCATTAATTTCCAAGTGGTTGTAGAACGTTCCCTGAACTTTCAATATGAATTATGGTCTTTTAGTTTTATGTTAAAACTAAAAATTTATATGTCTTAATTTTGAAAGGTTGAAACTTATTTCAAGTTACAACAACCCCCGTATTTATACCACAAGTTATAATATGTATGTTACACTATAATATTATTAATTTAATTTAGTATTAAATTGAAATTAAAATAGAAACAACAAATTATTAATTTAAAATTTTAAAACTTAAATTATTTATTTTCTAACAATCCCTCACAAATTTTAAATTTTCAATATATATATATATATATATATATATATATAGTGACAACATTATACCATGTAATAGGTATGTGTATTTTTGAATTTCACTTAGTGATAACAATTTCCGTTTGAGACGTCATAATGGACTAAGTCTTAAATTAGGTCCCTTTATCCAAAGTTCAATTATTTCACACACAATACCGATTTAGGCTTTAGTTCATAGCAAGTAGCACTTTTAGAGGCCATGTACTCTAATCTTGATTCTAGTAAGAGTTTCTAGAGAATAACTCAATCATATAGCCATGGCTTCATGGCAACTCTTATATAGGTGAGTCCTCCAAAACTGTTTTGATCTACATCTCGCGAGAATTCTCGTTTCGATACTCATTCAGGGTTAAACCCTTCTTAACATCACATTATTATTAGCACATATCACCATAAGGATAAGCACAGATAAGATAGTGCTATACAAGTCAAGCAGTACGAGTTCTTTCTACCACATTGAACATTTTTCATGGAATCTACAATAACAAAAATTGGGTTACTCTCGGAGGTGACTCCCTTATGGACTTAAACTCATTCCCTCAATGATTTATATATGTCCATCTCGAACTATATATATTCACGTCCCTCTTGGACAATAAATTGGTACCATTAATTTACAAAGCTTTTCTTCTTCACCTGCCCATCTGCATATCTACAAAGCCACCTAAGAATTTTCCAGTATGTCAGTATTACATATATAATTATAATAAAATTTCTGATATTGGCTTCTAGTAACACATTTGGAAAAATGCATCTATAGAGCTCTTGCATTTCACTTGTAATCTTCAAATTCATTTTTTTGCACTATTCAAGAGTTAGTTTACAACTAGGAAAATATAAGGTGAGTTTATATTAAACACCTCCACATTCCAAAGATATCCATCGTTGTGGAGTTTCTCTGTAAATACTTTTAAACACTTTTACAAAATGTTAGTGTCACAATAAACTTAGATAGATTTAAATAAAAATGTGACATTTCGATATTCATCCAACTTCTCTTTGAACATTAACCAAAGAAAAGAAAACTTTATTAAATAATTTAATACCCCCACATCTCAAGGATATCCAACCTGAATTGAGTAAGTATATGATCTTACAACTTTACCTCTTTCAATCAGAGTGCAAGGTAGAACTAATTCTCCATTCACTCATTAAAATTATAACCTTAGAAAATTAAATTCTCAAATATACGTTGTGGTAAAACTGGTAGTAAGGAAGGTGTAAAGAAAATAGGAATTAATAAGTACCATTTTTCTTTATGTACCACATTTTGTCCTATAACCGAGAAGACTCTTCGAGTGTCTCAATTGGAACTGACTCAACAAAATTTAAATGCTCGAGAAAACTCCCCATTTCATATATTACACCTTGAATGATTGATTAATAAGAATTAAAGATATTTGTACTAATGCTAGTTAGAGCTACAATTTCAACACTTTTAAAAGAAAAAAATAATTTTCTCGATACCTTTA